TGTGATAGAATCTACCAGTGAAGATATTGGAAGCTGGAGTTCTCTTTATATGAAAGTTTTTAATTCTGAATTATTTTTAGTAAGTAGAATTACTTATAATAGTTACTTCAGTTACTCTTTTTAAATCAGTTTTGAAAAGTGGTGTGTTTTTAAGGAATTTTAATGTCTCATTTAAATTGGATTTATTGGCCAAAAAAAAATTGTTTTCAGTGTTATCTCATATGTTTATGAGAGATCTGTAGTGATCTTTCATTTATCATTTGTGTGACCTTGGACAAATTACTTAACTTCTTTGTGCCTTAGTTTCCTCATTTATAAAATGAGATCTTAATAGTATCTTTCTCATATTGTGGTTTTAAGAATTAACTGACATAGTGTATATGTATACAATGTACAGAATAGTAACAGGCAGAGTTAGCACTGAATAAATGTTAGCTGTCAGAAATTGAAAATAGTGTAGAGACTGGATGACTCCTTGTTGATGAGCTTGTGGAGGAGTCTTATGAGTCAGATAGAGAGCTTCAAGATCCTTTTTAATCTTGTGGATTTTCTGACTGTAGGAAGTAGTTAAATTCCAGTGTTATTTCAATGGATATTGAGTTCTCAGCAAGAAAGGATTTCCTTTTACAGGTATTGGCTACCCAACAATAAGGAAATATAGCAACTTGGGGAATGATGGGCTTTGATTTTCTTTCCTTTTTTTGGCCTTGCCACGAGGTTTGGGGGACCTTTAGTGCCCCAGCCAGGGGTTAAACCTGCACCCTCAGCATGAAAGCTCAAAGCCCTAACCCTGAACTGCCAGGGGATTCCTGGGCTTTGATTTTTAATCCTTGCCTTTCTTGCACAGGAGCTTCCCTGGTGCTCAGCTGGTAAAGAACCCACCTGCAACGCAGGAGACCCTGGTTTGATTCCTGGGTCAGGAAGATCCACTGGAGAAGGGGTAGGCTACCCACTCCAGTATTCTTGGGTTTCCCTGGTGGCTCAGCAGTGCGGGAGACCTGGGTTCAGTTCCTGGGTTGGGAAGATCCCCTGGAGAAGGGAAAGGCTACCCACTCCAGTATTCTGGCCTGGAGAATTCCCTGGACTGTGTAGTTCATAGAGTCGCAAAGAGTCAGACATGACTGAGTGACTTTCATTTTCACTTTTTCTTGCACAGCACTGCACATTTGTTGAATATAACTGATGTTTGTTACTTGGATCTTATTTGAATTGCTTGTATTGAAGTATTCTACAAGATGCTTTCAAGGGAAGAATTTCTTGGCTCATATTTCTCTGCTCCATGAAGGGTGATATATATGGAATTCATATTACATACACTTTATGCCTTGCAGATTATTTTCTACACCTTTGATAAAGAGAGCTAGCCATGTTATTAGTTGTTTAGAATTTCACTGTATTGGAAGATTATCTTTTGAGTGAAAAAAGGAAAAAATATTCAGTTAGAATCTGTGTCAGGTTTTTTTCTGCAAAGGGTCAGATCAAGTTTTAGGCTTTGTGGACCATACATTCTCTGTTGTAACTATTTAACTCTGCTGTTGTGGTATAGTAGCAGCCATAGACAATAAATATGTAAATAAATATGTGTGGCCACATTTCAGTAAAACTTTTATTACAAATACAGGTGGTAATGGACCATATTTGGCCTGCAGGCCATAATTTGTCAACCCTTGATCTGTGTAAGACTAACAAGAATTGCATAGCCAGAGATTTGTCTTTATGTGCCCTTATAACAGTATTTAATGGGCTAAAATTTGTCCTCTGTAACTCTTTTGTGGTGAAGATTTATCCAAGTATTCATATTGGCAGACTGTCTGGGAAATATATACCTATGTGGCTCCTATTTTAGAGTGAGGGTGGATAACACTAAGAAACACTAAGATACAGGCTTCTGGTTCAAGATGGCAGAGTAGAAGAATGTGCACTCATCTTATCCTGCAAGAGCCCCAGAGTTACAACTAGCTGTTGAACAACCATAGACAGGAGGATGCTGGAACCACCAAAAACATACCCCATGTCCAAAGACAAAGAAGAAGCCACAGCGAGTGATAAGAAGGGCACAATCACATAAAATCAAATCCCATACCTGCTGGGTGGGTGATCCACAAACTGGAGAACAATAATACCAAAGAAGTTCTCCCACTGTTGTGAAGGTTCTGAACCCCACGTCAGGCTTCCCAGCCTGAGGATCTGACAAAGGGACTGGGAATCCCCAGGGAATCTGGCCTTGAAGGTCATCGGGATTTAATTATGGGATTTCCACAGAACTGGGAGAAACAGACTCCAGTCTTGGAAGGCATGAACAAAGCCTTGCATGCACCAAGAGCCAGAGGAAAGGAGCAGTGATCCCACAGGAGGCTAAACCAAAACGACCTGCTTAGTGTTGGAGCACCTCCTATAGAGGCACGGGTCGGGGGGGTCTCACCCCAGGGACAGGGGCGCGGGCAGCAGCAGGCCAGGAAGGCCCCCCTTGGTGTAAACCCTCTTGGACTTCTCCATTAACCCTACCATAGAGCCCGTGGACCCCAGGGCTGAGTTGCCTCAGGCCAGACAACTCACAGGGAGGGAGTGCAACCCTACCCATCAGCAGATAATTGTATTAAAGCTTTACTGAGCAGGTCCTGCTCAGCAGAGCAAGACCCAGTTTTTCCCACTGCCAGTCCCTCCCATCAGGAAGCTTACACAAGTCTCTTAGCCTCATCCATCAGAGGGCAGACAGAAGAAGCAAGAAGAAGCAAATCCCACAGTAGCTAAAACAAAAACCATATTACAGAAAGTTAATCACTATGAAAAAGCAGAAAGTTATGTCCCAGGTGAAGGACAGGATAAAACCCCAGAAAAGCAACTAAATGAAGTGGAGATAGGAAACCTTCCAGAGAAAGAATTCAGAATAATAATAGTGAAGATGATCCAGGATCTCGAGAAAACAATGAAGAACATGCAAGAAATGTTTACCAAAGACCTATAACAACTAAAAAACAAATAGAGATAAATAATACAATAGAAGGAATCAACAGCAAAGTAACTGAGGCAGAAGAATGGATGAATGACCTAGAGGACAGAATGATGGAAATCACTGTCACAGAACAGAATATTAAAAAAAAAGAATGAAAAGAAATGAAGACAGCCTAAGAGATCTCTGGGACAACCTTAAACACACCAACATTCACATTTTAAGGGTCCCAGAAGTAGAAGAGAGAAAAAGTTCCTGAGAAAATATTTGAAGAGATAATAGCTGAAAAATTCTGTAACCTGGGAAAGGAAATATTCAACCAAGTCCAGGAAGCACAGACAGTCCCAAGGAGGAGCACACCAAGACACATAGTAATCAAACTGACAAAAATAAAAGACAAAGATAAAATGTTAAAAGCAACAAGGGAAAAACAACAAATAATTTACACGAGAACTCTCATCAGGCTATCAGCTGATTTCTCAATAGAAATGCTAAAAGCCAGAAAGGAATAGCATGATATATTTAAAGTGATGAAAGGGAAGAACCTACAACCAGGAATACTCTACCTACCAAGACTCATTCAGTTTTGATGGAGAACTCAAAAGCTTTCCAGACAAGCAAAAATTAAGAGAATTTATCCCCACCAAACCAGCTTTACATCAGTTGCTAAAGGAACTTCTCTAGGCAGGAAACACAAGAGAAGGAAAAGACCTACAGCAAATAAACCCAAAACAATTAGGAAAATTGTAACAGGATCATACAATGTAGATAATTACCTTAAATGTAAATGGATTGAATGCACCAACCAAAAGACAGACTGGCTGGGTGGATGAAAACATGTGCATGTATGCATTTCCACTTACACATTGTTCTGCTTGACTTCCCAAATGTATGTAATTATTTTATATTGTTAAGCTAATCATGTTCCTATTATGGCTTGCCATTGTAATTACCTTTTATTTTTTTGTCTGGCTATTGATTGTAAAAACTGATAAACATCTTTACTGTTGTGATTATGTAACTATTACTTAATACTGTTGTATCATGATTGGTCAACAGAAAAATAATAGAACCTATATCACCAAAACTAGGATTCAATAGAAAAACCTGTAATCACTTTTTCAAATCAGAATTATCCATTTTTTGAAAAATACAAATGCCCAGGTATTGCTTTTTTTTTCTCCAGAGCTCCAGATATGTTTCTAATAAGCAGGCATGTTTAAAAGCAACTGGACTATGTGATGATCTTTTACTTTTATCTAGTTTGTTCACTTTTTCTGTTTCATATTCAATGTTCCCATTTCATTTAGTTTGTTTTCCAATTTCTTCATCTCTTCTCTTTTTTTTGATGTTCTTTCTCAAGCATAGTAGGAAAGCTTTTGTATACATATATATACATAATATGTATAATATGTATATTTTAGAAAATTTACAAATTTTTGGTGAACTGAAAAATTTTATGCCATTTTGATTCCACTTGTTTGACTTAGTATGACTAGAATGCTAGATTTCTAATTTTAAAAAATAGATATGCAACAAGCAACAAAGGTTTACTGTATAGCACAGGTAACTATAGTCAATATCTTGTAATAACCTACAATGGAAAATAACTTCAAAAATAATATATGTGTATATGTATAGCTGAATAGCCTTGCTGTGCACTTGAAACATGTTAGTCCACTATACTTCAATAAAATATATATATTAAGAAAAAAAACCACTAAGATTCAAGACAGTCTAACAGGTTGTCATTTCTGTTCACTAATTTATTCAGCAAATCTTTATAGAACACCTACTATTTACTTAACACTGTTCCAGGCTCTGAATATACTTTGTTGAACAAGATCTTTGTTAGGCCATCATGAAATACACACTCAAGCTGGTACACTAAAATTGGTCAGGTAAGTTCGTGCATATTATATATTTTCATAAGCCACATTGTGTCAAGCACTATGTTACCACCTGTTTTTAGAAAATTACTGTCTATAACACTTTCCTTGTATGAGAATGATTACAAATTCCAATGAAAATTCCTTCATTTTTATTTAAGAAAAGAAAAGAAAGGGAACAAAAAATTAATAAAGAAATGAAAGAAAAAGCAGCAAAGGAATTGGAGAAAGAACATTTACAAGAAAAAGCAAAGGAAAAATATCAAGAATGGTTAAAGAAAAAAAATGCTGAAGAATGTGAGAAGAAGAAGAAAGAAAAGGTATTTTCACTAAGGTGATCAGTTAGAATACATGACTTGGTGTTTATCTGTGCCAACTATATTGTGTAATGAATTTCTAATGGAAAATTGGCATTATCTTAATAATATAAATACATGTAGCTAGACTGAAAATTGTTAATAAGCCTATTGATACTCCTGCAGTCAGGTGCAAGCTTTTTACTGTTGTTTATGGTTTTAAATATTCAGTGTACTTTATGGAAAGTTTTATTACATTATTGTAAATTACTGTTCTATTTTAAAACAACAAATTGCTTTTTTCTTCTTGGATTTAATATCATTGTTGAGAGGCAGCTACTTTGATATCACATCCCTGATCATGTTAAATTTTGCTCTCTAGTTGTAGAAATATGATTCAGTGTTTCTGATCAGTAAGCCCTTGGGATGGGGAGCTACTGGGGAGCAAGTCAGTAGACTCTGAATAGAACTTTTAGTTACAGAATATCCCTGGAGATTCTTTGGTCTTGTCATTTTAAGGAAAAAGAAAAACAACGGCAGGCTGAATTACAGGAGAAAAAGGAAATAGCAGAAAAAAAGTTTAAGGAATGGTTGGAAAATGCAAAAAATAAACCTCGTCCAGCTGCAAAGAGCTATGGTTATGCCAATGGAAAACTCACAGGTTGGTTTTTATGTTATGTGGCTTACATAAATATGGCTTGCAGGAGCGAATATTATACATTATGTTTCCCTTTGACAGAAATAGAAGTGTGTAAAAATCATTTTTCTTTCAAATTACTATTTTCTGGAAGATTATAACATATTGTGTTCCTGTGGAGATACTACAAATTTGTTGTCATTCTCTAAAATCAGATACATTTTAAAGGCAACAGTGGCAAAACTGCAAAGTAATGATTTCTAACGTTAAGAAATAAGTAAAATTTTTACATTCCTTGGATCTTAAAGCCTTAATCAGGATATATTTAAGGGGTCATTTTCTTTCCCTTTTCTAACCCTCTCTGAGGCAGGGTTCCCAGTGTCTTTGGCTCATTATTTCTGCAGGGTGGAATCTAGATGGCACATGAGCCAGACGCAGACCTGGTTGGCTTTTTTGGCCTGGTCTGATTATAAATGGCAATGTGTGTTTTCCTTTGTACTTCCACGTTGGAAGCTCATACCTTGCTGACAGCTGCCTTCACTTGTTTAAGTGATTTATTATTAAAAATACTCCCATTCTGTTTTGTTCACACAATAGAACATATTCCAGACTTTGTTTTGACCATCGTGGTGAAGTGTGTGTTGACATATGTATGCAGTCAAAGTGGATTGCCAGTGTCTGAATGACACATTCCTTCTGTCAGGATTTAGGCCTCTCCCACATGTCACAAAGGTCATCCATTACAGCTACTGAGCAGAGTATGCTCCTTTATTTTGCTCTCTTGTTTGAAATAAGTAGTGGTTTTAACAAAATGATTGGATAGTAAAGTTAAAACCTAGATGGAATATATGTATTGACTAGAACTTAATTGTTAAATAATGGATTATTTTACCAAATTTGTGTTTAAATAAGTATTATAATAAACATCATAGTCTGAAAATGCCCTACTGCTCTTAATTACAAAACTAGAGTGTATGAAATCTGCTTAATGAGTGACAATGATTTAGACTTTCAGTGGTTCTGAACCACAATCTTGATTCACTTTAGCTACATATGCAACATACATTTTTTCCTGCAAGCTTTAGTGTCCAACTAGGGGAAACTAGTACATAATCAGAAGTTTCCCAGACTGAAATAAGAAAATGAAGATTTTGTTCAATTTAAGGGTTCTAAAATTAACTTCTTAGAAGAAATTTTATATGAGTTTTTAGTTTTGAACATTAATGTTCTTTGAATTTTCAGAATTATCATTTATATTTTAACTTATAATATTAACTGTATTTGAAAAGTATTGTTTGAAAATATTTGAGTTCAAGTTTTAAATGAGTCAGGTTTATCAGTGATATTCTTGCCCTTTTAACATTTTAACATTTTTCTATGAATTTTAAAATAGTTTCTTTGATCTCAAAAAGTTTTTCTTGTTTTATTCTGATTTTTAAATAATTTTAGGTTTTTACAGTGGGAATTCTTATCCAGAACCAGCTTTTTATAACCCAATTCCATGGAAACCAATTCCTATGCCTCCTTCTAAAGAAGTGAAGGATCTATCAGGAAAGAAGACTAAAAGGCCTGTGATAAGCCAGCCTCATAGGGCATCCTCTCTGGTAATGCATAAAGCTAGAAGCAATCTTTGCCTTGGAACTCTATGCAGAATACAAAGATAGTAGATGTGGGAAATTGCATGCTTTTACCTGGAGCTACTTAATTTTAACATCAGAATTTGTTGTTTTGTTGCTCTACTATTAGTAGCTCAACATTTGATGTATTATTGTTACGTTCACATTTTTGCATTTGTATATGGAGTCCTTAGAGTTAATTTAGGAAGATATTTTATTCATTTTTATTTTTATAAATGCTTCAAGGTTGATCTTGGAATATTGTTTTGCAAGATAAATGACAGAATATCTAACAATTGTGTTTATATTTAGCTTATATTAAAACTACCCTCTAAATACCAATAAAACAATTTTTTGTGTATTCTTTCATACACATGTTATGTGTTTGTGTTTATGAACATAGTAAGAATAAGTCATTGAAACAAGCATTTCTAAACTGTATGCTCAAAACAATTCTTAGAAGAATCTAAAATGAGTTAGAATCCTGGAGTAATCAAAAACAGCCTTTGTTGATGACTTTTAGTATGTTTTTCCCTCTACAAATATTTGTAAAAATCACTAACTGGAATCATGTTTGGTAATGGAGAATTGGGTTTTGAAAGGACAATTTACAAATATTGTTTTGGGCTCTCAATCTTAATTGATTGTAGTAATCTTTGGACACTAATATATTTTGCTATACTTTGTACATATACTTACACATTATAATTAGGTTGTTAATTTTGAAATTAGGAATGTCTGCTTTATTTTTTAATGTAAAATGTTGTCATATTTTATTAAAGTTGAAATAAAAAATCTTTATTAATAAATACTTGTTAAGGAAAGTAGATCAAAAGATTACTAAAATAACACTCAGCCCTTATTAAATTTTACAAGTCTGTATCTTTTTTTAGGGGGCCATCAAGAAATGAAAATTTGTGGTGGCAATATAAAAGTTCAGTAAGTTCATTTAAAAGTGATTCTTATTTAGCCATGTTTCTGTGAGGTTAGTCATCTGCCAAGTTTTTGGTGATTAACCTGCAGTGGTATTGGTCAATGCCAGGAAATAGCAATGGGATCTTTTGAAGGGTATTTTTATCATCAGAAATCTAGAAAAATGCACTTTTAAAAAAATTTCTTGTTCATGTACGTCTGTGAGCTCCATAAGGATTGAGCACTCAGCCTGAATGATCATTCAATTCAGCCATCTTCAATTGGTTTTGTTTTATTTTTTTTACTTCTAAGTGGAGAACAGTTTAGGAGGAAATCAGTCGAGTTTGTTGCATCAAAATGTTGCTGAAATTTAGAGACCTGACCATCCTTCTCATAACCTCTTAGATACAGTGCAACTTCCAGGTGATCATTCTACTTAACTAAATTCACCTGTGTACTGAGACTGTAGAATTTGCCAGGGTAGCAATAAACTTGCATGTGAAAAACAGCATACATAAGCCAGTATTCCTGGGGGTTTAGATATAACCTTAATCCTACTAACACTTTTCATTCAGTCAGTATTAGTTTGACCAATACTAGTTGAACATGTGAGGCAGATGTTTGCATATTGATTTAGCAATTGGAATGATATATTTTATCCAGCAAACATTTGTAACCTAGCCAGGAAAACAGAGTAAATGCTATAATACTGTTTACTTAAGATCACGCTCAGAATTCAACTGGAAACACAGATAGAAGATAGTTCAGCTTGAGGCAGGATTAAGAAAAACTACAGCAAGAAGGTAACATTTGAGTTGGTGAAAGATAAGCCGGAATTTCCTAGATCGTTATGAGGCTGACCACATTCATGAATATGTGATGAGAAGTAGCTGGGGAAGAAGCAGGGCTCAGAGTAAAAAGGCTCTGTATACTGCAGAATTTGGACTTGATCCTGTGGACTTGTGAGAACCTGTTTTATTACCCGAATGGTTCATTTTTAAAAGATGTTTGACTGCCAAACATTTATTACTGAAAGTCCATTTTTGTTCATCAAAAACTTCTTCAGTCAATACACCGAATACTAGATTAGTGTTTTTAAATGGAATCAATTTTTCTTAAAGTCAAGATACTTGGTATAATAGGTATTATAAACTATAGTAACAATATTTGAAAGTTCTATTGAGGTTTTTAAACTGTCTCTTTGACTTCTACTACTACTTTGATTGGAACTGCTCTAAAATATCTAGATAACCTATAGCATCAGCAAATTCGTGATCTGATGGAAAAGAATACAGGCATTACAGACCTGCTTTATGTTTGCTTATCTCAAAGGTACCTTGTTTTTTTCAATGTTCAGTACCTTATCTGATTGATAGAAGCTTACTGTGGGAATGTAAAATAAGTGGAAGTACCAAAAAATGCAAGTTTGTTTCTTTTTGGATGGTGACAATTCTGATAAGATGCACCAGTACTCTTTCTTTAGTGGTCATTGATTTACGTAATACCTGACTTTGGTTAACATACCAATCTTGATTCTTGATATATCAAAAATAAGTTAATTTGTTAGCACTTGGGGTGAACTTCATTAACAGCTGTGCTAAGGGCAAAAAGTGAAGATGTCTTCAAATTGCTTTGGTAAGTATTTACTGAATACTGTGCAAGTTACTATTCTAGATGTCAAAGGTTCATCTGTGAATAGGAGAGGATCCCTGCTGCCCAAAAGTTATCATATGACAGTGATAGGGAACAGATATTAAAATATGTAAACAAATTATTTGTCTCTGGGTGCTATAAAAAAAAATAAAACAGAGTAGTGGGATAAATCCCAAAGAAAGGCAATGCCAAAGAAAGTTCAAACTACTGCACAATTGCACTCATTTCACATGCTAGCAAGGTATGCTAGCATGCTCAAAGGCCTTCAAGTGAGGCCTCAGCACTATGTGAACCAGGAACTTCCAAATGTACAAACTGGATTTAGCAAAGGTAGAGAAACCAGAGATCAAATTGCCAACATCCATTGGATCACACCAAAAGTAAGAGAATCCTAGGAAAACATCTACTACTGCTTCATTGACTATGCTACAGCCTTTAACTGAGTGGATCACAACAAACTGCAGAAGATTCTTAAGAGATAGGAATACCAGACCACTTTACCTGCCTCCTGAGAAACCTGTATGCAGGTCAAGAAGCAATAGTTAGAACTGTACATGGAACAACCGACTGGTTCAAAATTGGGAAAGGAGTAGTACATCAAGGCTGTATACTGTCACCCTGCTTATTTAGCTTATATGCAGAGTACATCATGGGAAATGCTGGGCTTGATAACTCACAAGCTAGAATCAAGATTTCCAGGAGAAATATCAACAAGCTCACATGCAGATGACCATTATATCTACTACTGTGGGCAAGAATCCCTTAGAAGAAACAGAGTAACCCTCATAGTCAATAAGAGTCCAAAATGCAGTACTTGGATGCAATCTCAAAAACAGCAAAATGAGCTCGGTTTGTTTCCGAGGCAAAGCATTCAACATCACAGTAATCCAAGTCTATGCCTCAATCACTAATGCCGAAGAGGCTGAAATTGAATGGTTCTATGAAGACCTACAAGACCTTCTAGAACTAATACCACAAAAAGATGTCCTTTTCATCATAGGGGACTGGAATGCAAAAGTAGGAAATCAAGAGATACTTGGAGTAACAGGTTTGACTTCAGAGTACAAAATGAAGCAGGGCAAAGGCTAAGAGACTTTTGCCAAGAGAACGCACGGGTCATAGAAGACACCCTCTTCCAACAGTGCAAGAGACAACTCTATACATGGACATCACCAGATGGTCAATACCGAAATCAGATTGATTATATTCTTTGCAGCCAAAGATGGGGACACTCCAAACAGTTGGCAAGAACAAGATTGGGAGCTGACTGTGGCTCAGATCATGAACTCCTTATTGCCAAATTCAGACTTAAAGTGAAAAATGTAGAGAAAATCACTAGACCATTCAGGTATGACCTAAATCAAATCCCTTATGATTATACAGGGGAAGTAACAAATAGATTCAAGGGACTAGATCTGATAGACAGAGTGCCTGAAGAACTATGAATGGAGGTTTGTAATATTGTACAGCAGGCGGTGACCAAAACTATCCCCAAGAAAAAGAAACACAAGGCAAAATGGTTGTCTGAGGAGGCCTTACAAATAGCTGTTAAAAGAACAGAAGTGAAAGGCAAAGGAGAAAAGGAAAGATACCCATTTGAATGCTGAGTTCCAAAGAATAGCAAAGAGAGATAAGGAAGCCTTCTTAAATGTCCAATCCAAAGAAATAGAGGGAAACAATAGACTGGGAAAGACGGGAGATATCTTTAAGAGAATTAGAGATACCAAGGGAACATTTCATTCAAAGATGGGCACAGTAAAGGACAGAAACGGTATGGACCTCAAAGAAGCAGAAGAGATTAAGAAGAGGTGGCATGAGTACCCAGAACTGTGCAAAAAATGCCTTATTGACCCAGATAACCATGATGGTGTGATCACTCACCTAGACCAGACCTGCAATGTGAAGTCAAGTGGGCCTCAAGGAAGCATCACTATGAACAAAGCTAGTGGAGGTGCTGGAATTCCAGGTAAGCTATTTCAGATCCTAAAAGGTGCTGCTGTGAAAGTGCTCTGCTTGGTATGCCAGCAAATTTGGGAAACTCAGCAATGGCCACAGCACTGGAAAAAGTCAGATTTCATTCCAGTCCCAAAGAAAGGCAATGCCAAAGTATGTTCAAATTACCACATAATTGCACTCATTTCACATGCTATTAAGGTAATGCTCAAAATCCTTCAAGCTAGGCTTCAACAGTACTTGAACCAAGAACTCCTAGATGTGCACGCTGGATTTAGAGGAACCAGAGATCAAATTGCCAAAATCGTTGGATCATAGGAAAAGCTTGCAAGAGAATTCCAGAAAAACATCTGCTTTATTGACTATGCTTAGGCCTTTGACTGTGTGAATCACAAGAAACTGGAAGATTCTTAAAGAGATTGGAATACCAGACCACCTTACCTACCTCCTGAGAAATCTTATGTAGATCAGGAAGCAACAGTTAGAACTGGATGTGGAACAACAAACTGGTTTCAAGTTGGGAAAGGAGTACATCAAGGCTGTATATTGTCACCCTGCTTATTTAACTTATATGCAGAGTACATCATGAGAAATGCTGGGCTGGAGGAAGCACAAACTGGAATTAAGATTGCTGGGAGAAATATCAATAACCTCTTCTCCAACACCACATTCAAAAGCATCTATTCTTCGACACTTCGCCTTCTTTATGGTCCAACTCTCATATCCATACATGATTAGGAAAAAGCCATGGCTTTGACAATGTGGACCTTTGTTGGCAAAGTAATGTCTCTGCTTTTTAATATGCTGTCTAGGTTGGTAATAGCTTTTCTTCCAAGGAGCAAG